CAGCAGGAGTTTACATATATATCTTTAGGTATACACTATTTTCTGCAGAGTCTTATCTTGCAATACCTATCTGTTTTCCTGCCAACATCACAGAATTAAAGTTCCAATAATAAGCAGCGGTCAGACTGTTGCTGAGTATACCAATGTTCATCTTCCTAATATTCACAGTAATTTATTAATAACAAATTGATTTACAAGTGTGAATGCTTCAAAATAATGATCTTTGTTAGAAATGGTGTTCAGGGAAAAAAAAAAGAAGCTTATTTCAAATGCTATGTGTTTACATAAAGTAAATGCTCCAGTGGACATATTCTTGGAATTACATGTTAAGTGTGTTAGGAATGCCAAAATATGAATCAACAAAACCATGAGTGACATTTCTACAGGATTTGGTGCAAGCAGTTGCATGATAATGCTAACCATTCGTGGAATTGACAGGGCAAGTGTCTGGTAGCTGCATAGCTGTATAGTAACAGACTTTCCTAGCATCAGGTCTAGCTGACCAGCTTAGGCTTATTATGCAGTAACACATCCAATGCCTTCAAGAACACATGGAGCAATCAAACAACAACTTACACTATCAGGAAATAAGGTATCTCTTACAAACTTTAAATCATCGTTTGCTTCTTGTTTTACTTTTTCCATGTTATTTTTGCTCATTTTCCTTCAGTACTGTTAGATCTTTTCAAAATATGTTGTGCTTTCAGATTAATTTATAAGTATGTTTCCAAAAGATGGATTGATACTTACGAAAAAACCTGATAAATCTCTTCAGATCTTCCTTTACGCAATCTCAGTGTCCAAGCACCTGGATTTGCTTTCAGCTGAAAATATCCCTATGAAAAAAAGGAAAGGCAGGCAGTTGTTCTGTCAGCATTTCAGAATCAACCATGTACATATTAAAAAATCAGTTATCCAACAACTGGTACTGCAGCCAAGGTTAGTAACCATTACCTACTCTCATACTAGCCCTGAAAGTAATATGGCAGTGATGCAACCAACTATCACCTTTCCTGTATGTCCATATTAATGTCATTCAGTGCTCCATTTGTTTCTAGCTGAATTTGAGTTGTATACAAAATCTCCACCTAGAACAGCAAGTAAGTGAGCAGTAAAGAAATAAATTATTAATCAGACTCTAAACTGAAAAGCTTCTTTGAAACTCAAAATTTTTGCCTGGAACAACTTTCCAAGTCAACACAGCTCCTTCCCAATTTAGAAGCACTGCATACACCTCTCACTATGTGAAAGCCAGGCAAAGTAAGCTTTGGAATGTGAAGAATCATTAAAAGTTTCATCATGTTGAACATCATCTACTGTTGAGATTGTATTCAGTACTTATGTAAAAATAAAAGTTTCACAGTTTATTAAGCATTTTATTCCTTGTGATACAGTATTTACAGAGAACAGAGACTAGTAGATAGGTAACAGATCTTATTCATCAAAATCCTTCCCTATCAAATTACCTTAGCCAATAGAAAATAAATCTTTCACTTCAGAACTCACATCATCTTCTGCTCTACAGACTGCTAAAATGAAAAATAATTACTTTGGATGACCAGAGAAATTCTCAGGTGTGGATTTGTCCCAGAGAGGCTTTAAGCACTTAACTGAAGTATCTAAAATAGGAGCCTTCTTTTGCCTGGATCACTGCGTGACAAAAAAAGGTTATTTTAATCAGAATGTGATTCATACTTTATATTTGTGTCAGTAGGATCTCCATCTGAATATAACTATCTCCTACAGTCTACTTAAGGCAATCAGGCTCCCAGTTTAGGCACTCCAGGTAAGAGTCTAAAATTAGGCTATATCCAAACCTATATTGGGTCAGAAGAGGAATGGGGGAAAGCTCAGCATATTAGAGATGCACATCTTTTGTAGATGGTCTCAACTCCACGATGTTCTTGTTACTTTTAGTGTTACTAAGCTTGCAATACAGAGAAATGGATTTAAAGAATGAGAAGCTCATAAAGAATTCTCATGAAGACTGTGCAATTGTAATGACTATTTCTTAGTCACTTCATTAATACTTACCAGATTGGCCATCACAATAGTATCAACCATGACAGGATTATTCTTTGTACCCAGAGTAAACTGTAACCCTCGAGGAGGTTGTCCTGTGGTTACATCAAAGCAATGTCCTTCAAGCAATATATATTCTAGTTCATATTCTGCTATAACTGTCTCTTTCATCTGTGGAAAGAACATTTCATCAATAAATTATGTCATTTAACTATGTGGGAAAAGCAACATAATACAATGACAAACATGTTGTGTGGGATTTACCTCAACTGAATTCAACTGTCAAAAAAAAGAGAAAGGCCCTTCCATAATGAACTTCACTCAATTTTAAAATAGGTTTCCAAGACAAAAAGGATAAATCCGTGTCTGGAGGGACCTTCTCTCCATTGAATGTTGAGGAAGATGACGCATCTCAGCTTTGGTAAGGTAAACCCCAACCTTTATTTTCACAATATACCTTCCAAATACACAGCTTTGGTTGATCAAACACTTTCAATATTTTGCATAAGCTTAGTGACTGAAACAAATCTAGTGACTTTGAAGCTGAGGGATTAAAAATATAATCAAAAACTTGTGAACTAAAAAAGGGTCAAATATATTTTAATCAATATTAATAAACAGTCACATATTAAGGTTTATTTGAAGATTTACCTAGGCTAATCCTATTACTACAAAAAATATCAAGAAAATAAAAGAGAAATAGAAAGATAACACACAGAATCCCTTAATTGCTTTATTTTTATCTTAAAAAATAGTATTTCTATAAACATTATAAAGCTTAATAGAGCAGATAAATTGCTTTTACTCTGCATTCTGATTTTTTCTGTTTCATTGCTTTCTTTCAAGACTTGCTTTTTTTTTAATTACAGTAAGAGAGAATGTGAAAAAAAGATGATGAAAATAGAAATGGTAAAATACTGATGAAATAATCAGTTACCACAGAAAATATTTCTCAAAAACAGACACAAAAAAAAAAAAATCTTATCATATTCCCATTTCCCTCTTGAGGTAGAAGGTCCAACACAAGTATTACAATGTTTACAAACTATTACTTACATCCTGTAAATGAATGTTATCTAAATCACAGGAACTGTTCACTGCTTCAACCAACCAGCTTTCAGGAGTGACCATGTTTAGAGTCAAAAGGGGTGATTCTGGCAATTCTAGGAATTTTGCCACAGGTTCAGAAGGAAGGTGTTTGTTGATCCCGTAAGTTAATTCTGGTTCCAGAACAAAACGATAGAAGCTGTTGAAAAAGAAGTGTTCAAAAAAACCCCACATTTACTGAAGCATGAAGTTCCAAACATGAAGTTCTTCTAAAATACTTTAGAATATAGTGAATGTTTACCAAATTAATGATGTTTGGAGGCACAGTAGCTCCCTGTTCTTTTGGAATACCGTCAGACAATACCTACAAGCCCAGTTTCAAATGGGCTGGTAGACAAACACAGATCTATTCGCTTTTGATAATTTTTTGGCTGTGAAAGTGCATAGTTCCCATTAACATTCTAAACAGCTGGGAAGGTGGATACCCAAGAGGTGCATCTAAACATCTTGACTGTGAACTGCCTTGAATTTTCAGAATCTGGATCACTCAATTGAGCCGAAGGACTAATCTCTGGTGGAAGAAAAGAGACTTTGGAAACAGCTCCTGATGCTAGCAGCAGCAAAGAGCGAGCAGAGGAAAGGAGGGGTCCCTCTATTCCTCTTCAGCTCTTACCCCATTTATTCCACAGGTAAAAGTTCCTTGCAACAACAAAATAATGATGGTCTTCCTTCCTTCCTCTACTGATATTCAACAAAACGAGAAGAATCAGAACAGAGAAAGAAGAGCACTGAAGATGGAGAGTGAAAGCAGCAAGCAATGAGTGCTTCACATGGGAAAAAAAAAAGGACATTTAATTACTATGAAAAGTAAAAAGGTAAGAAAGTCTGTATCCATCAGGAGGAATACCATTTTCCCATGAAGTATTTGGGCTAGTATATGGATGCATTTCATATTGCTGCAAGAAAAATACAACCTGGCTGCAGGGCAGATGCCGGAACACTTCTTCCTCTCACTCCCAAACACAAGGAAAGAACCAGCCACTACCACCTGAAAAGTGCCTGGCTTTAAAAGTGATCATGACAATGTTCACACAAGATACTCAGAAGATTGGCGATTAATACACCCTCTTGCAGTATAAGAGGTGTGAGTTCAATTTCTCTCAAACCAAATAGAAATTAAGGACTTCTGTTTTGTGGGCAAGTGATTAGTTCTGGCTAAAGGGCAGGCACTACCACCAGCCTCTCTCGTAGTAAGATTATAGGTAAAATAGCTACCGAAGGGATGGTAGTGCCTAAACACTTCTCTTAGACGGAAAGGAATCTTCCCTGGGGAATTCAGTGCAGTGTAAATGCCTATAACTGAATTAGTGAACCCTGGTCTTTACAGTTAAAAGAAACTTCAATTTAAGGCAGGTGCTTTCAGCATATAATATTCTTAATGAATTATAATGAGATCGCAAATGCAAACTGTACATTTATTCAGATGAATTTAATTTTTAAGTTACGAGTACTTCATCTGTAAATTTCATTACAGAGACAGTGGGCTGTAAGAAGTGACCAAGTTAGGCAGAAAAACTGCCCCTGCAAGTTTTCACAGGCATGAAAGATTCTCCACTGATTTCTCTACGGATTGTTTATGAGAGGTGTGCTTGATGGACTAGATCACTTCCCTGTGATCCCATGCTTGATACCTTAGAGTTAGAATTTTTTTCTAGACAAATGCAAACTGCTTAGGTAACTTTCAACCTCCATTCAAAGAAAATAACTAATGCAACAAAAAAACCTGGAAACACAAACCACTGTTTATTTTTTTAAGGGAATATACACTGTTAAGGCTGTTTTTCCAAACGGAGTGAAATCATACACTTGTAAGAAAAGCTATAAAACTACTTACCTCTTCAGTGGCACTTCTGACAGCTTAGATCTGCAGTTCAAAAACAACCTGAGTTTCACATTGATAATGTCTTTGAGTACCTACAGGAAAAACAAACAATACAACTCTGTAAAAAATGACGCTTGGTAATCACCAAACTTTGAAAATAAGCCAAAGTTACCCTTGCGACATCCTGTCATTTCTCAAGCTTCAGTAGAAATCTCAAACATTTTACAGTTCTAAATATATCTGTATATTAAGGGATGTTGTAAGATATTCCAAATAAAGATTTGACCTTTTCTAAAACCGCATGATTTAGCACATGATATTCTTGATAGTCAATATGTTAATGGTTTCCCCTAGTGATGCAGTTTTTTAAAGAGCAGCTATTCCCATTTACCAATGCTTGAGTAAATTATATTATCACCTTTCTTATGTTGTGATTTCTAGAATATTTTAAAGCACTTGAAAGTCTGTAAGTACCACACATGCCTTTTATTCAGTATCCAATCTTAAAACAATGACTTTCATTCATTAAAATAGTTACATACAGTAGTTGTTGAATAAAGCTCAGAGAATTATTTTACTACTTAATTACTTAATAATTTTAAATGTCAGCAATAGATTAATGATGTGTTAAACTATTAAATCAACTTCAAAACATTCCAGTAAGTTAAAAATATTTCTACTTCTTCCTTGGTTTCTTCATCTGTTCATTTCTAAAATACTAATTTTCTGGATGCTGTTATATAGTAACCATAATTCTGTAAGTTCCTCCCCCTCTACTCTGCACTGGTGAGGCCTCATCTGGAGTATTGTGTCCACTTCTGGGCTCCCCAGGTCAAGAGAGACAGGGAACTTCTGGAGAGAGTCCAGCGGAGGGCTACAAGGATGGTTAAGGGACTGGAACATCTCTCGTGGGAGGAAAGGCGGAGAGACCTGGGGCTGTTTAGTCTGGAGAAGAGAAGGCTGAGAGGGGACCTCATCAATGTCTATAAATATCTGACAAGCGGCTGTCAGGAGGATGGAGCCAGTCTCCTTTCAGTAGCACCCAGTCATAGGACCAGGGGCAATGGGCACAAACTGCAGCACAGGAAGTTCCACCTCGACATGAGGGAAAACTTCTTTACTGTGAGGATTATGGAGCACTGGATGGAGCCCAGAGAGGTTGTGGAGTCTCCTTCTCTGGAGACCTTCAAAACCCAACTGGATGTGTTCCTGTGCAACCTGCCCTAGGTGATGCTGCCTTGGCAGGGGGGTTTGACCAGATAATCTTCAGAGGTCCCTTCCAACCCCAACCATTCTGTGATTCTGTGAAATTAAACCGAGCTATTTAACCTGGGAGAAAAATCAAGAGCTCAAGTGTGAGGCAGAGAGAGGCTTTTTAGGGGGTCACAGGAAAGAGTCAGTTCTTTAGAAACAATACTACATGAAAGCAGAATCCAGCTGGAGAAATCTTTTTGGCAATGTTTGAAATTTTGACGGATCCAAGCCTCATTAACCCTAATTTGCCCACCAGTTGCACTGTACATGGACTTTGCTAAGCCTTTCTAACAGATTTAATATTAGGACAGTATTTTTTCTTATTTTTGTGAGCAATCTGTTTTGTTCAGTTAACAAAGTTATTAATTTCTTTAAAACACTCTTAAAAACTTTAACCAAGTTATCTTCATTTTTGTGGTTTCTGATCCAAAGTGCTTATTTGAAAGCATAAAGCAGTTGTGTCTATCTTTATGGATATTATTAGAAAAGACATTAAGGCTAAGTTGAAATATTAATACTACTAAGGCTAAACTCTAAAATTACTATAACAGCAAGTAAATTGGGAACAAAGCAAGACAATGGTCATCCTTAAATCTCTCTTTTATTATAACCGTTTTTCTCTTTCCTCAGTTCAGCCCTTGGCTACATATATTCTTTACTATAGTGCTACAACTTTACATAGTCCTAGGGACCTGTTCTGCTCCTAGTTTCTCATTCGCATCCTTTGTGTCACCTGAACACCACCACTGAAAAACTACTGAGCAAAAAATAAAGACTAGGGAATTGCATAAGGGTAAGAATAAGCAAAGAAGCTGGAAACAAGAACCCAACAGCACTGGAAGCATAAGAAGGAAAAGTAGTATATGACGTAGGCTAAAGACCACCAAAATCAAGAGGTCCAAGTGACTCAAGTCTCTACCTACCTACCTACCTACCTATCTATCAATCAATCATGCAGAAGAAAAAGCATTTATAACCAGTGATAGCTAGTCTCTTCTACTAAAATATACCTAGAATTTTCAACATTAAAGAAAACAATTTCTCAAATAAAGATCTTGCATCCAAAATGATGTAAACCTGTATTGGACCTTATCTTCAAGCAAGACAAAAACCTCATCGCATTAGTAAGAATGATACTTCAGCAATCTGCATTGATAGATGGTTGTATGTGGAATGAAATGATCTTGAAAAAGACTGACGTATCATCCCAATTCATCAGCTGACCATGAGATTCAGTATAGTATCATTGCCAAAAGAATAATGCCATTCTTAAATAACATTCCAAAGGAATTTAAACACCAAAATCCAGGTCATTCAAGTCAATACATGAAAATGATTACAAGATTGGAAAGCCTCGTTTATAGCAGGGTATTTGAAGAGTTCAATATGTTTACTTTAAATCAGAAAATCCAAAGAAGAGCACAGAAATTTAATTCAGGGAATATTTCACACTGTAAAAAAATGGCTGAATTATTTCAGTTTACTGGGCTTGAAAATTATTTAAGAGCAAGTTTTGTTTTGCGCATGTAGTCAATTTGCAAAACGCTTACTGTAAGTTACTACAACTCATCTGAAAAGCATTAACTCACCAAACCACGATTATTCAACCAATCACTTGGAATTGTTTGTGAATATCACCATAACACAAAGAATCTATACTGAAACTCTTATAATAGAATCTTCAACAGAACTTGCAAAATGATGAGAAGATGAATGCTTACAGCATGAAGCTAAATAAAAATCTCCAATTCCAAGTCTGAGTTTAACAGTCAGGTTAATTAGCCACTGGAAAAGCTCAGTAGGAGCTGCGATCTGTACTCAACAGCTTGATAATATTTAAGTTAGGATTAGATTTAAAAAAAAATAAGATTTCTACTTCAAATGCTAATTGATAAAAAGATGTCCTATGACCCGAGTTATATAGGAAATCAGACTAGATTATCAAAAGGGACTCCTTCAGAGATTCCTATCACTTTAGGGTGGAATAAGAGTTTCTCCCTGAAGACAGAATGGATGTAGAAAAAAGGCAAAAGATAATTGACAGGAAAAAAGAAAAGGTTTGATTTTTCTCTCCACATTTTTGAGTTCTTTGACAATTACTTGAACAAGAAAAAAGAAGTAGATGATCCTAAGAGTTACATACTGGAGTAAAGCAGTTAGGCTAGAGGACATGTAGTTTATTCAGTGGCATCATGTATAGTATTTTTTCAGCTGGTTTTGGTGAACCATGAGGAAAGAAACCCCTGACTCTTCAATTTTGTCTTCATTTTTAGAAGAAGGAATTTCTACTTTTTTCACATCACCTTAGGGACCACATTCATAACTTCAGAGCTAGTTAGTTGTTCTATGTATTCTGCTGAGAACTGATGTGGTCCAACCCTGGTCAAGTTATGGCTAGTATTTAAAGATCTGCTGTAGACAGTCACAAGTCTACAGCCTTGTCTAGAAATATTTAATGTTGAAGTCTATGACAAAACTTTCTGAACAAGGGAAAACATGGGTTATATGGAAAGTTCTACCTGCCTCCCTCTGGAGAGGATATAGAGCAGTTCTTATGATACAATCCAGTATATATCTTAAAAGCAGATAAAAGCCTTGGCTCTGCTCTCATTCATGCTCTAATACATACCTTGCCTCTGCCCTTAAATTATCACTTTCTCAGACTAAGCAGTAAAGTTTAGATTACAGTTTAACTATAGCTGTTTACACCTTCTCAATTTCAATTCCACTTAATATGAGTAGCTTTTTGTTTATATATAAAAAAAAACCCCTACCAAAAGATTTCTTTGAAGTAACTATTAAGTGACACGAAGTAATATAATACCATGCTTTCACCAGGGTAAAAAAAATAAATCATAATGTGGACATATTCAACATGGACTGGGGCAAGAATCATGTGCTTTGCTGTGGTAGTTACTACACAAATTTTGCACCATGCATAGCTACCATCCCAACATACTGGGCACTAATCCAATTATGTTATTCAAAAAAAGATCCTTTAGGTATAAGTATATCCTAGTGCTTGAAGTTTACAGTATTTAAGTCACTATATAGAGCAAGATAATCAGAGAGGCATCTATTTAGGAAATTTGAGTTTGGGGCTTGCTATATGTGTATGCATGTTTTCTCTCTACACCAGGAGGTGATGTCTTTCCAGATAATTATATGTACCTTTTTTTAAGTTTTCTGATTAATTTATTTTTAATTTTAAAAAATAATAATTTATAAAGTTTCATCTACATTAAAATCTTTCCAATTTGTTTAGTTTCAACAGCATTTCACTATTCTCTCCTAAGGATTAGCATCTTGAATAAGACTATAGCTCCTATGAATCACTCCTAGGATCTGTGACGGCTGAACAGCTTGGTACACCATGGGAGTCATTTGCCTAGGCATGCATTAGGGAAGATATTGCTCATTAGGGAGCCTGTTGCGCTAGGAGGAATGGAGGCTTCTGATCTGAGCTACAAGGTCCTTGATGCAATTTACCATAATATGAACTTCTGGCTGAATGGAGCGAGTTTCCAGTCAATTCCAGAATGAAATTATTTTCATTGGGGAATATCAAGCTTTCATTTTAACTGAGAACGGTAAAATGAAGGATCTGGTTCTAGAGAAAAGCTAGTATTTCAGCATCTTGAAATATCAGAGTTGTAATGGATTTTTTATATGTTTTACTTTGTTTCACTATTATGTATGAAAAATGAGCGAATGCTTCAACATTTGATACAAAAGGTATAAAAGGACATGAAAATGGGAGAGGAAAAAGCAATGTAAGAAATTATGAAAGTTTCATAATTACTGCTGAGATAAAGATAAAACAAGATGCAGCAAAAATCAAGTTATAGGCTTCAGAATTGTAACAGACCGTAAAGAAAAGACAAAATTTACATTTTTATGGGAAACTATAAAGGAACCTGAGGTAGAGTGATATTCTGCAGCTAGTGAAAAAAGAAAATCATTTTAGAAGCCATGTTTTTAGGACAGTTTCTCTTTAGATGATCAATAGCTACACACAATGGAAGATTTCTAGATGTATTTGGTAGCATTAATCAACTGAGAAATACCCTTTCAAGAGTTGAAAGGTTTATAGTCCAATCTTCTTACGATGATATTACAGGTCAGATTTAGACCACCTCATTCAGGTACCTTGGAAAACTAAGGTGATTTGGTTTAATGGAAAGATGAATATGACTCTTAAGATTTTGAGATAGGAGATCCTTTCTCTCTATATTACGCAGACAATCTCCTCCTTTCCTTCTATAGAGTATAAAGAACACTTATTGACTCACTTTTAAGAGGACTGGTTCATGAGGCATCTGAATTTTAATTGCAAATAAGGTACTTACAACGATAAATTAGATAATCCCCAACTTTTTAATATGAATTTAAATAACAAATATATATTTTAAAAATACTTAGATTTTTGTTTACCCTTTTACTACTCTGTACATGGAAATTAGCAAAAGTTTAGTATGAATTAAACCACAAATATGTGAATTTAAAAAAATTACCACCATCTTACAATCAATAAGTGAGCCATCTTCTGTGCTTCTCTTGTCAATGGATCCACAATAGCAATAACATCATAGAATGGTTCATTCTGTTGGGGATCGACTTTTACTACACTGTTTAAAAAAATTTAATAAATAAATTACGTGAAACCTCTAAAGTGAATTTGTGGAAATAACAAACATTTTTAGGCACAAATTTGTAATATTAGAGGCATTTTAGATTTTATTGCTTGTGAAGACACTTCCCTCATTTCAAGCAGCAATCATTATTGCTCCCTGTGACATTACTAGGAAAGGTAAACATGAACAGCAACTAAAAATTTCACATTAATCTATGCAGTTTCATACTGGTTATTAATTAAATACGTGCCCCATAACAAAATTAACAAAATAAAAGGAAAACACACAGCAAAATTTTGAAAATGGCCTTTTTGTCACTGCTCTAGTTTCCTTCACTGGTATCTAGAATCATCAGATTTGACAACTGCCAGCAGTGACACAACTTTAAAAAAATAACAGTGCGAAAAAATGGCAAATGAGAAGTGTGAAACTTGATAGGACGGATTGGCTTTATGCATTCCAGAAAATAATTTAGTTTGATAAATTTGATTAGACTAAGTCAAGGAGATCTTAGTTATAATAGTCTGGACCTAGAGGAAGGAAATATTAGTAAACCTCACTTAAAAAAAAAAAAAAATCATGTGCTGTAAATACACAACTATTCAGACTATCTGAATTTGTTTTCCACAAAACATATACCTACAACTGTGAGAACCGTTAGTGAACTCTCCAGTATGGTAGTAGCATAGTATTGTTATTAGCATAACTTTGGAAAAGGTTTTAGCCACCAAGTTTTCTAACTCCAGATCAGCACTTCTATTCACACCGACTGTAATCACTCTTTTTTCAGCAAAGAATAAGGCTGGAAAATCATTAGGTATCACTAATAAATTTATTAAGAAAGAGATAAAGATGCATTACACTAGGGCAAATGAACAGGTTGTTCATACAACTATAGAATCAACAACTTCTTTTAAAACTGGAATGCTTACTCAAGTTTCCAAAGACCTTATGTAGTCATGAGTACATTCTAATTTTAATATGAAAGTATTATAAGTGCATTATCATGACAGTCAGAACTTACCTGTGCTGTTCGTTGAGTAATTCAGCATCTTGTCTCATCTCTGTTTTAGGCAAAGATGACAGTAGGGCATCTATTTTCATAATCAAATCACTGCCACTATATTAAATAAGGCACATATATTTTGTTTTGCATCAGAAAAGGAGTAAAACATTCACATTTTGATGTGCATCTGTCTGCAAAAGGGATTTTTTAAAAGCCCACATCCCAAACCTGGACTCTAAAATGATTCTCACCTCGAGATTTATAGCTTTGAGTAAAAGCTTTAGCATGACAATGGCCAAGAACCACTACTGCCTTAGAGCTTGTGAACTGTACACTTTTTAATTTTAAGTGATGCAGAATTATCAAAAATACCGTTCAGCCTCACAGGTTGCATAGTACATTCTGCTGACATTTATAGCTCTTTATTCCTTTTTTTCCCCCCAATTTTTTCCCTTTGTGACAACATCTAGGAAGAGATATAAATGAACAAGTTTCAAGTTTACTTGGCCACATCTTTTAACTTTTTTTGGTATTTCTTACTGGAATTTCCTTAGAAACCTTCGTAGTTCTATTTCAGTGTCACGAAGCCTTAATATTTGATTAAATATGCTTTGCCTCTCACTACTTATCTCCTTGATAATTCTACCTCTTCTTCATTTTGTTTTTCTGGTAGTTATTCTTTCAGTTATACCAGTCCTTCCAGATAACAGAAATGATACTCAGACACAGAAAGTCAATAGATATTGTAAAAATAATACAATTTTGCTCTCTTTGTACACAAACTGTATCCTTAGATTAAAAGCTGGCTAGAACTCATCTTTACACTTCTTCAATTAACAGATGTGTGAATGTTGTCTAGCAGGGTGTCAGAGCACCACATCTGCCCACACCTCTACAGGCTCCTTTTTTCTAATGATTCCCAAAGACAGTGTACTTTCTTACTTGAAATATCAATACATGGATTTTACTGTGGTTTTAAGATACACTGGATGTTATCAGGCTTATTATTCTTCTTTCAAATTACTCGTAAGTAAACAAAAGCTAGTAGGAATTGTTTACAGTTAGCTGTACTCGCCTCTTGGTTGCAAGTACAGTGAAAGTAGATAAAGTATTTGGAGTATTTTAGCAGAGCTGCACACGTTATGAGGCAAGTTGGAGATAGACACGCAGTCATCTCTTATGCCTTAGCCTCATGACACACATGACCAATGATAAAAGGGTGCATGTCTCCTGAATAACACAGAGTGCCTTTTTCTGCTCTGTGCTGTAACAATGCAGTACCAAAGAGGCTGGGAACAGCAGGGTAAATGACACATGCAGTTGAAACCCAATATATACAGTTTATATATACAGTGGAAAACTATGTTAGATAGCATAATTAGCCAAGCATAAAGGTGATACAAAAGTTAGCAGATGTGCCATTTCTTCTAGAAAATAGGGCAAGGGTTTGAGTAGGTAAGTATACTAACTCTGTCAGGGAAATGCTAAAAAGGAAATGAGGGACAGTTAAACCTGTCTATGCAGAAGTACTCAGATGCTAAGTAAAAGGATAGCAAACATATAGCATGCAAAAAGCAAACACTTCAAGTCCATGTAGAGTTTATATATATGAGCATGAAGAGTATGAAACTATAGTCATAGTTGACTGTATATTCAAACCTTCGTTCGTATTTGCCATATAAAAGGATTATTAATTTGTCATGGGCAATAAACAAGGCAGTATATCATAAAGCCTCAAAATGCAAAAGAATTTTACCTTTTACTATTGTTTCCCATCTCTTTAACAATAGCTTTAATCTTCTCCGCTGAGGTACTGTATGTTATTTTTTCCAACAAATTAAAGTCATCTGCATAGAATTCATTTTCATCTAAAGGACCCAGTACCTTAGAGAAAAAATGTTACTAAGCATAGAATGTCCCAATAATGTTTCTTCTAAAAGCAAAAATATACTAATACTTTAAATTAATGTACAATATTCAATATACAACCCCCAGTCCTATATACACCAATATTATTAACTGTGTAGTGCTAAACTGCATAGTAAGTACACAGGATTAGGTTTTTACAGTTATGTAACTACAGTTAACTATAAATCACAAAGAACAGCTGCAATGGAAATATCTAAGTTTAAGAAAAAACTCTGTTAGGTACATTATTTTAAACTGAAATTCAAATTACTATCTGCCTCCTGCACTCTTTAGTTTCTTAATTCTGTGAACACAATTTTAAACTTCTCAAGGCTTCTCAGATGAAGCAGAATGGATAGAAAGGAAGAAAAGAGCAAAAGATAAGAAATCACAGAATATCCAGAGACAAGAAACAGAACTACTATGTTTTTTTGGTGTCTGAAGGAAAAGAAGGTGCCTTGAAGTCTCACAAAGTAGCTTTGAGGATATTGTATGGCTTTTCTTACTCATAGTCTACTAGGCTAACCTGACCCGAGTGAACTTCAAGAGCCTACAGGGCTCCCAGGATGCAGAATGTCATGATGTAAGCTTGGTACTGAATGCCTCTCTCCCAAAATTCAACTGCTTCCTAGCTTATCTAACAAAATTCCACTTCTGAATTTTTATTAATATTAATGATGCATGAGATAAAGAAAAACATAGTGCGATTATGAAATACCGTGCTACTTTTGTAGAAGTCATAAATAGAAAAAAAAAATCATTTGGTAATAAAAACAACACTTCAGTGCTGAAATAGCAAGGATAAAAATCAAGGATATCCCATGTCTTTTTTAAAAGTAATCTTTTAAATTCAAAAGACATTTTCAGATAGATGAATATAAATGATCAAATTTATCCAAGTATTTTAAGAAACTTATTTCCTCAAAACTTAAAATATGACACTATTTGAGTTTTTTTAGGCATGGAAAACAGTAATAACCATTTATAAAATAACACTGAATATTTAGATACGGAGGGCGGGGGGTTGACACAAAAAAGCCAACACAATTCTTTTGTGCTTCATCAACAAAAACACTTTCTGTGGGTTTGTTAGTGGTATTTCAGTTGTATCTCAGAAGCCATTTAGGATGCACAAGAGTAACTAAGAACACATTTAAAGAGAGTTTCCACTAATGAGATGCCAATATAATATCTCTCTTTCTAATGGTGGAGCAATAAATAGAAAAGTGTTAATTCAAAGAGTAGTTTGTATAAATTGTATTTGAAATATAAGGTATTGACTGTCATTAAGAAGTAATATATATTGAACCCAATATTATATTTTTTAATCACAGTTCATCTGTAGCCACACTGTAATTAAAGCTATTGGTTTCAGAATATACATACAAGAAATTGAAACAAGCAAGTAGTATACTTTTATTTGAACACTAAGAATTAAGACTATAGAACAATTTAATATTTATAAACAATTTGTGGTTTTAGAGCTTCAAATACTACCCTAGTCAATGTAATCTATTTTTTATTATATATGCAGTATTTTACCCTATCCCAAATGTGTAAATTATAGGTAACTTCAGGGTCAAAAGTTATTCTTAAATATCATTAATAATACATCAAATATTAACATACTTAAAGAATTTTGTGAGATTAACTCTTAAATAGCTGTGGGAATGGCATACATACATAGTAGATTCAATGGAATGGAGCTAATAAACAAATTAGAAGTAAAACAAAATAAAAAACAAGGCAAACATTCATACCATTCTCTAACAACAGGCTGAACAAGAGGTAAATCAATATAATGCATTTTCTTTAGCTTGAAACTGAAGTTCCAGGAAGTAAAAAATATCTACAAAAAGATTGACAAATAACTTAATTTCTTTCTTACCCTGCCATTGCTCATAACAGCCATTTGCCCAGGAAGCAGTTTAAGAACCTCCTGGCAGAACATCTGTTGGGTTTTAATTAAATCCAATCCTAAAGTGTTGTACTTCTTCTCAAAAGTATTGTCATCCATTCCCTAAAGCAAAGATAAAGCACAAGATGGGGGAATGATTCAGCAAAAATAAATTTTGTAACAGCTGAGATAATCAAATATTTTCTTCAAGCTATGTGGTAACCAGAAATTAAAACAAAACAACCACCTCAGCTTCAATACAAGTACATGACTGTTGGTGTGCAGCCATGGTCTAGTGTGTGTCTAACTAGTGTGCAGTTTTTACCCTTGAGCAACTGTGAATAACCATAGGAGGAAAGCTAAGCCTGAGGTTGAGCGCTTTTTCTATGATCCGGCACACAGCTGCATGAAAAATATAATTCTCTGTTAACAACTGAACTGTATTCTCACTTTTAGGAAAAAGGTATAAGAGATCCATAATACTCTAAAAACCTAACCTAACATTTTAATGTGGTCATCGGATACAGCTCAGATGTGTTTTGGGGAAGCCATCATCATTCAGTAAGACACACAACAAATCAATGTTCAAAGTGGGAAAAAAATGCTGGAACTTTGCCATGCTTACAGTGGCACTGTGCTTCACCTGACACAGTTACCCTGCTATATTAAACTCTACTGATATGTATTTCTTCATTAGAAATGTACAGACCAATCAAATAGATTCATTCAGATACAATTAATATAATAAAATAAATTAGTAACATGCATGCTCTGCTTAATTAGCTACCTTTTATGTCTTACAAAATCTATTAGACAATGAAATAAGAGCATGACCCAAACCAGCTAATGAATTTACCAATATGGTGCCAGAGAGTTCTCTTAGAGTTCCAGATCTTCCTATTTAAAAATACTACAATTTACAGCTCCTGAAACAAAAACTGTAGTTTGCAGTTGTTATCAAATAACTCAGATCCACTCTACCTGTGAACTTCGAAATCAGCAACGTTTGTATTTTAAACCAAAGAATTTTCACAGAAACACACCAGAAAATGTTGGCCAAAAGTATACAATGCTCATTAACCTCAACTGCTTCAGCCTGTGCCTATTACTGTTCACAACCACAACAGCAAGGTAAAACCAGTTGCTTCTGAAGTCCTAATTCTTGACAAACATTAATACTGTAATTTTAATTGAGACAACTATTAAAAAAAATAAACAATTAAAACTTAAACTATTTTGGCCTCAATAATCCAGTATCTATACTCTGTATTTTTCAGTACACTTGTGTTTTCTTCCTTTAAAGAAATTCTCTATTCTTCCATCACATAAAAGTTGTCAAAAATCCAAATCTGCTTGAGCAGAAGCTGTATAAAGGTTATAAACTTCATAGCATTTGGCCAAACACCATTACCCTCAACGACACCTCCTTACAATAAAATATATGTAAAATGAAAAAGAAAGTAGTCTAATTTAGTTTGCACTCACTGGGATGAGGAATTTCGTAATTTTAGTTCCAGCAGCAAGGGATTTTGCTGTCTCTTCCTTAGTGAGTTTACTTAGGAAACTTTTTAAGTTGCTGTTGTTTTGGGTTAGAAAAGCGGTCAAAATTCCTCTTGCAATGGCTGTGTTATCTTCCTTTATTTTTGATGAAGGATTGTTCAAAATCCCAACTCGTGCATGACTGCTTGTTTTCTGCAAAGAAAAATACAGAATACACAATTTTACAGTTCCATCTGCTGTTACCTAATGTATTCATATCTATTATAACTCTGTCAAATGCCCTTAAGTATTTAATTTTTTGCAGCTCTTTGTCTTTAGAAAACATACAATGCCTAATTCAGAACTTCAGCTAGGATCAAAAATGTTATTAGTAAGGATTTACCTATTCTGTAATACCTATTTTAAAGAGCAGTGTTTTTTTTTATCGAACAATTGCCTTTGAGCATTCTGCAGAAGTGTATTTTTTAACAAAGGACATACACAAGTGTTCATTTACAGATTTCAGAACTGGTTTTCTAGATGTTTTTCTATTTTTCAAAAACTATCAAACTAAGCATAATACAAGAAAATTTATCCACTTATCACTTTAATCTTAATCAGCAAGAACATCTTTCAGTTGCTAAAATCAGTGATACCACTTAAATTTTATTCAAGAGAGTGATGATTCTAAGGTAGTATCAAATACTATCACTAACTGAAGAAAAGGTAAATGGACTCTACTGCAGTAAAGAGTACAAAAATAAGGAACGAAATCACTGGTATTCAACATATTTAAATAGCAAACTTCAAATTGCAGCCCTTGAGAAAAGTTTTGTTAAAAAAACACTTATTTGGAAAGCTTGAAAATGTGTACTTTAAACTGTTCCTGAGACATGGGCTCTCGCTGGAAAGACGACAGGCGGCATCCTAGGCCACATTAGGAGACACACGGCAATCAATCAAAGGAAGTTCTTATTCTCCTCTACTCAGTACTTGTGAGGCTGCACTTGGACTGCTGTGCCTGGTTTTGGTCCCCCCAGTGCAGTAAGGATGCTGAGATGCTGGACAGGCTTCAGCAAAGAGCTACCAAGATGGTCAGAGGCCTATGATGAGGTATTCAACAAGCTGGGTTTGCTCAGTCTGGCGAAGAGGAGGCTATGGAGGATCCTAATAGCAACAAACAACTACTGAAGGTGGGGGGAGTGAAAAACATGACAGGGCCAAACTCTTCTTGGTAGCCGCAGAGAGTATAACAAGGGGTAATGGTCAGAAATTCTGGCCTGGCAGGAAAAACTACACTAGGAAGGCAGTGCAACACCAAATTGTCAAGGGAGTGGATGGAGTCACCTCCTTTGAGATTTTCAAGACTCCTTCAGACAAACCTACAGCTGACCTATCTAATAATGGCAAGAATCCCACTTTGAGTGGGAGGCTGAACTAGAAGACCTCTAGAGGTCTCTTCCGGCTAAGACGTCTCAATTTTTTTCAAATGAAGTGAAAATGTATTAGTAGTTTTCAAAATATTATATATTAGCTGGAACAGTTACAAGTGAGTTCCCTTCATCCACTTCTCCCAGATTCTTGCATGCTTTCCTTCAAACGCCAATGCAAGTCATGTGCAAGAGGTGTCTGTCCTAGTTCTGCACCTATCGGAAATTCTACTAGACCCTGACCCAACAGACAAAAGGGACAGGAAAGGAGTAGAGAATCTCCATACGAATCAATGGACTTCAAAAAAGGACTATGTTTTTGTCTTTTTGTCATGAAACTCAGAAATCACTAGACCAAGCAGTACACGAGGTTTATCTAAATAAAATCTATGAATTAGAACGAAGATAACCAATTAAACTGCTATTTCATAGAGGATCCAACAAACCTCATTCAGAACGGCTTTTTCTAATGTTTTTCCTATAGATTCTCCTCGCTAACAGATGAGGACTTGCCCAGACAGTTCTTACTTCCTAGCTGGGAGCTATGGCATATTTTCCCCACTGAAGGGTGGGAAAAATGAAACTACAGAGGGAATACATCTGTCAAGCTTAGGTCACAGATCTAGCAGTCAAATAAATGAAATGTTTTTCTGTAACAAGGACTTGTGCTGCATATTCCTCTTTGCAGTTTTTTAAGCCTCTTTTAAAGATGTATTTGGTATCACACGCCCCCTGTAACATACCAATTTTATAATTCCCTTCGGGTGGTTCCTGTTTCATTCCTGATTAGTAAATCTAGATGTTTTGTCAATTTTTATCTAAGTACTCTTCTAACCTCCCCAGAACTGAGGGCTTTTTATTATTTATATTCATGTGACATTTACTTGTATACTTTAAATCCTATTATTAATATTGAAGAACTTAAAAATAAGCAAACTCATAAATGTGGATGATCTTCCTACCATATTAAAATTTAAAAAAAAAATTAATTGGTCTCAGAAGCATAAAAACAGTATGTGGAAAAATGGTCACTTCATGGCCATATATGATACAGGAGAACACCGCATAATGGTTCACATCAACAGGCATTATCCTAGCTTCCCTGGCACAGGTAACATGCTAGGTTACCTCACGGGAGAAGGTCTGTAACTGGGAAGAAATTCACCCTTTTAACGCACAGCGTCATAGTGTGTCTCCTGCATCAGGAATCCATGAACCAAATGATCATTTACAGGCCTGTAAGATGCCAGCGCTGCAGGAAAGTAAAGCAAAATGAAAGCACAGTCCCACAAGTCTGCACCTAACCCACAAAAAAAAATTGTCCACCTTTATTTAAGAGTATAATTTTGAATGTGTACAGTATTGTTAAGAACATATTCATAATAATTACTTTAATAAAAACTGCTAGAAACTCACCAGGTGTTTCAAGGCATTGGAAAGCAGTCGTCTCCCAGCTGGCTTATCAAAATCAGCAATAATCCAGATAGTAACAGCATATAATGCATCTTCACCTGAAAATGAAAGATAATCCTGCTTTACATTCTGGAGAATCTTCTCACGAGTAATGAATAATGAATTAATTCTGTTTGAGGTTTTGAAGTTTGTGTATGTTTGCTGACTTCAACTGTAAGACTAATCTTCGGCACTCTTGCTCCTTGAATTGAAATAAAATTCTTAGGAGGTAATGTATCATGATAATATGAAAGAGTCATTAAAATAGCCGATCTATTTTTGTACCACTGAACAAGATGGCCCTAAATAATAAGCTAGCTCCAATTAATAAGACCTGCTTTACCAGAGGTTTCTTGTGAAGATTTGATGGAGGCTGGTCATATATCCAGAAAATAAAAGAATTAAGTAGTTACAGGAATGCATGAGTTAGGCCGTTCACCTTCCCTGGCAGCAAAGGGTGAGTCCTTCAATCAAATGCAGGACAAAACTTTCCATTTCTGGACACGAACAGGAATATACCAAATACAGTCCAAAGAAAGTAAACTACTGTATAGGCATATATGCAGAAAATTTCCCTTTTTGCTGGTCTATAGCCTCCTGTTCTTTATTCTTCATAGAAGACCAATGGTACACGAAAAATTCTGCAAAATTATCTGTAGAAGAGTATCAGTTTACTCAGGTCTACCATATATTCCCTAAAACGTATTACGTATAGATGGGAATTTTACAAGGTTCTGGTGAGATTCTAGGAAGAGGTTATTATTAAGTGTTGCTGCAGTCTAGAGAAAGACACTGGGGACAGAGATTTGAAATCTAGATTCCAGCTTAAAGGTTATGGGTTTTACTCAAGAGATTTGAATCTCAGAAATGAACCTATTGACTGAAAGCCAGTCATCATTTGACAACTAACTGGGATGTCCCTGTGGTTGTAGACAGAGAATCAAATACAAGCAAATAATTTTTTTTATTCTAAAGAAGTGTAAGTATATGGCATTTCTTTCTGATAATGGAATAAGTAAAAACTATGTTAACATTGCATAGAAATTACTGAAAGATTAGCACTTTGTTAACAGGATTATTCTGTCCCTTGATGGACTGATGCAAATGAGCAGTTGTTAACTGTCTACTCGTAGAGGTTAACAAGGTACAGGCTGTTGTAAAATTCCATGCAGTATTATGCCTTACTGTTGTAATTAGAGTTTCTTCTAACTCCAAGGGAAATAATAATATAGTTATTAAAATACTATAAAGTATATAAAGCATATTTAATAAATTTAATAGAAATACATTAAATATCAATTATATATGATTACTATGAGTAAATTACTATATAAATATAATTAATATACACTAACATTTAATATAATGTATTATGAAGTATATAAAGTATAATTAATAAAGGACTTGCATATGCAATAAGAATATTTTACATTAAAATATTTTATATGTACAAAAAAGTGTGAGTTTTAGCAAGATAAAATGTATACATGAGTAATAATCCATCAGAATATATATATATTTTCTTTTCTACAGAAAGACAAAGCTTCAGATACCAAAATTAAACAATTTAACTAGAGGAAAAATAAAGAGATACTAAATGCTAATAAATAAATAAAAAAACCCAATTGTTCCTTAAATTGTAGAAATGCCTAATTTTGTGATAGCTATTACACAAACTATACATTCTTCACTTGATAATGCTGCAAGTAAGAGTCCCTTGAAAACTGAATATACTCTCTTTCATATCTCCAAGTAAAACCATATTAGTATGAAAACTGAGTTTGTTTTTGAAGCTGCAAAAGTCTTGCAAAGCATTTTAACCTCATGCCTATAAAACAAAAACCAACTAGCCATGACATCCATCCCATTTCAAAACTACAAAATCGAAAATAACTATCCTGTTAATTATAATTTATGTTTATAATATTAGGATATGATCTGGCTCCTGAAAGAAGATACTGAGATATTGGTAAATTTATTTATTTACATGGGAACCTTGGGATACTTACTTATTTGGGACATTTTACTGGCAAATTTCAACAATATGTAATACATACATACACACACATATATATATAAAAATAAAACCCATATAGAAAATGAATATACCCTTTTTTGTTAAATACTTCATGTTGTCTGAAATTACAGCACTTTTATCTTGTGAGTCCAAAAAGGAGAATGTAGAGAAGTCTTCCACATCAAATGGAACTGCAAAATGTAAACCACAACATGTTAGACTTAAAAAAAGGAAAAACATAACAACAGTCAATCCAAGAAAAGTATTTACCAGATGTAGATCTGAAATGTATGTATCTTCTTTCTGCTCCAAGAATAGTGGGTTTTATACGGGAAACTACATTGTGCTGATCCATAAGAAAATCCATTGCATTTACATGATCATTTAACAGACTCTGTAGTAAAAGAAAAAAAATTAAATCTGTACTTTTATAGTTTCAAGACAAATAAAGACCAAGCATTTGTACAATCTTTCAACTGAGCTTAAAACCTCTATATACACCAAGTTATGGACAATGTCAAGTGAAAAATATATAAATATCACACTGATATTACTTCAAAATATCAGATATACATTTTTCAATGAACAACTGCAGTACATTTTCAGTTTCTGGTTGAAAAATTCCATATAATTACTATACGCTTAGTTGATCCTTCAATCTTGTATAATCTAAATATAGGGCTTCAAAACCATGACCGCAAATTAATGTAACAAAGTAATTTCAGTTGTGATATTATTCATTTCAAGCCACCTCATTATGAAAAATGTAATATATAAACACGGCTCCAACAATTCGCTGTCAAATATTTCATCTTGCATTCATTCAGAAATGTTAAACATACCATGAACACTGCCCTCTGGAAGAACCCGGTGGCATCAATAATCCTCTGAAGAATAACTGTCTCTAACTCGGCAGCATCCATCTCTTCTCTGTTAAAGGGCACGCCGTTAAAGAGAGCTTGAGGCAATGGACCCAGGCCAGTCTTTTTATAAAAGGTTGCTCCTGCCTGATCGTATCAGAAATATCACAGGATTAAATAGACTGTGGCTGACTGTAGCAAAAAAATGAAACTACTATCAGGAGACAACGAATTCTAATCTCCAAGCACTGTTCACTGTCACACCTTCTCAGGAGTAGCAGGTACAACAGGAAGTGTTTGGAAAGCAAACAGGATGCTTGGGACTCATTTCTCAAGTAGCATGACAAAAGAAATTATAGATCTATACATGGTATTTTAAATGTTTGCTTTATAATCTTGCTGAGAAATGTTATTTTATTTTGCTTAACATTCTTAGCAAAAAATACCAAGTAAATAACATTGGAGAAGGACCTTAAAACAATCATAGTTTCAGGTGGATTGACCTAGACTTTTTCCCCCAAAACAGCACCCCCCAAAAAAAAAAAATCAAAAGGCTTTTATGTTCAGAAGCCAGGCCTTACATGATAAGAAAGCAGAACAAGTTAATTTTTCCTCAAACAGAGAAAATTCAGTGAGACAAATAGAAATAAAAATGTACTGTAAGTAATTTCCCCTTCCTGTTCTGCATCCTTTCATGGTTTCTTTCACCGTCACTTTCTGGATGGCTACAAACTCTATGGCACTACCTATGAGTCCATCTTTCTGTCATCCCACCGTCTCCTCCCTCATCTTCATCACAGTCTCATTGTCCCTACTTGTGCACGGGGCTTCCTCCTGGTGGCTGTCTATTTTTTCCCTTTAATGTCCTCTATGGGAAGCTTTCTTCCCCGAAGCATATCCAGCTGTTTCCAGGGCAGATTCAAACTGCCCTCCATGCAATTCAGTGAGGAACAAGCAGCGCAAGGCAAACAGCAGCTTTTTTTCTGACTGCCCAGATGCATCTTTTTAAAGGAACATAGTATACATTATATAACAAATTTTAAAAGGAAATAAATAAAATGGATGGCATGTGTCAGAAACACAAGATTGTACAAACAACACAGCTAAAGACATGTGAAGGAAAATGGTAATTTTATATATATTTTAACAGAAAATTGTCTATATAATCAATCACAGATAAAAATGTGTCCTCTACAGCTTTTAATTCAAAATCCATAGCTGTCTTTCCCAAAGGAAATTATAACCAGAAAGCACAATTAAAGAAAACAATGATTCACCTAGAAGGCTTCAGCTCCTCACCCAGAAGACACAGGTAAACAATTTCTGCAGTGCAAGAGAGACCCCTTGACATGCTTACTAGAAAAAAAATGTGTGCTCCTGAATGCAGCAGGCAATAGGAAATTTTAATAGTGAGAGTAGTAATGCACAAACCCTTTCAAGATTTCCACTAATGACTAAATGGTGGCTGAAAAACAATTGACTCAAAGATACTGCATTTACTTGCTGTAACATTTAGCAGTCTTTCAGCTTAGTAAATGCAATAAATTGTGTACTGCAATATTGGTTACCGCTTTGCTATTGACATACCTTCCTCCCTTCATCATATTCAGAATGAACACCTAGTATACTCTGAACATCAGCATGTGGGTATTCACTTCTAAGAACATCTTTCACGTGATTTACTGTTAGAACAGTTCCATCTTTCACTTCATGGTACATCTGTAAAAATTATAACAGAAAGAAATAAAAAAAAAAGGTAATAAATTGTCAATAATAATGTAATAAAATTACTAAAGTAAATATAATCTTTTTTTATAGTGCTCTAGTATATCGGTATGCTTTTATATTGCTTTTATTGCTATATTGCAGTTTTTATATTGCTTTCATAATTATCACCATTGCACATATGCACAATTTTTATTAGAGCACTGTCCTGATTAATTTATTATTATACCTTTAGTATAAATCTGAAATGGCAAAGAAAATACACTTATGTGAGCTGAATGGGAAAGGTTATTTCTCTCCACTGATTAGAGAAGGAATCTAAATTCTTACTAGAAACCACCTAACCATGGGTAGTTACCTGAATCTATATGGGATGAAACCAAGCCTGAATTAGTCAGTGATACTTTTTCCTACAGTGATAATTTTTCCTTACCGATGCTATTTTATTTCATAGCATAAAATCTTATTGCTTTCATCAAATGTACTAAAGAAATTTGAAGTGAAAAGTATTCAATGTATTTCTTTTCAAATGAGGAATAATACATTTCTCTCTCTAGCTCTGAATATCTCAACCCTGTATTTTATTTATTCTATTTTTGTTATCTTTTACTTATATTTATCATCTCCTTTTTATATTATAAAACAAAGTAAACAGAGGAACACAGCATTTTAAAAAGCACACTGTAAATTGCTATTTTGTGATCTGGTCATGGATAATAGTCATGCATGTGTGTCAGCTCCTAACACTTGTGGATTTCTATTGCTCTTCCAAGGTACTCCTAGTTCCTACTCAGTTCCTTTCATCTTAAGCTCTCTGAGTCTGTCCATGACACCAGTTTCTAGGCACTGAACAGAATAATAAAAAATAAAAGTGAGGAAAAATGTTATATATTAATACCATATTCTCTGATATGATTTTTGCCTGCAGAGCCTTCACATAGACTGCTCACTGTATTTCCCTCCATTCATCTCTCGTCTCTGAAATTCCTGTCTTTACATGAACCTGCATTCTCTCACACTGAAAACCTGTCTCATTCATTAAGCTGCAAGCCTGGAATATTTCTGTGTTTTCGACACAGCTCAAGGATGAACAAAAAAGAACTTATCTTAACTCTGTTTCTACACTAGAGGACAACCAAGGGTTTTTTCAAAGCTTACAGGATTGCCAAGGAGATATTAAAATGCCTGTACTCCCAGAGATACAGAACACAAAGACGGGCACATCACGTTAACACAAATACAGAATCGTTTTTCACAAGAAAATACTAAAAGCCGTAAGGCATGCATCTAGCTTTTTACATTCTTGAAGAAAGTCTGTAGAGAGGTAAAATGACAAGAGCAAGCTGATTTCCAGAGGAGGAAAGTATTTCTGCAACTCATTCTATAGCATATTAATGCTATACATGTTTTTAATTACTTCCATGCAAAGTAAATGCAAATGTACCATGTTGTCACAAGGTAGCAAAATCCTAACTATATAGAAAAGTAATAAGTAAACAAAAAAAAAAGTGATTTCTTGCAAAAGAACTAACATTAATTATCGAGGTAAAGGCTTGAGAGGTGTCAGATTCCTCTGCAATGTAATTAAAGGTTCTCCAAAGAGCTATTCCAGCATCTTCTTTTCCATCAATTTCTTCTTTTGTACTTAAAATGAAAACAAATCCAATTCTATAAACAAACAAAAAGAGATCACACATTTTCAAACATCAGTTTCAAACACATTCTAATACCAACATAGAAGAACAAGATGTTTGCATTCAAGGAATCTGTCCAGCATCTAGGGATGAAAACACCTGTACCAAGGTGGTGTTGCCATGGACTGTAAGTGGTGAGACTGCGGATACCAGCTATGCAAGCTTGATCAGATATCCTAGATTATGCTTAGGTTACCAGCTATGTACTGATTTTGGATATGCCTCTTCTACCATTTAAAGCTGACACTAATTAAGATTTCTGTGAGTCATTAGGACTTACTCACAGCCCTTTCTCTCCTTACCTGTCTGAAGGTTATGACATTCTTTACATTCCTGCCATCATCTCTTAGTGGCTTGACTCTTTGTTTTAGTCTAGGCATTGTCTGTCTCTTATTCTTCCTGAAATGGGTGTCTTGAGTAGCTGCATGAAGACATGCTGGAGTCTTGATGTGCTGTCATCAATACATGCCATTCTTAATAGCCCTTCTCTTTTTTTAAACGTCTTAAAAAAAGACATTTTTACCTTCTGGGGCTTCCCCATCCCCCATTGCCATTCATCTTCCATTCACACCAATTTTAACACATCTACTACAATTTCCTACACTTCCACAAAATTAAAAAGGCCCTAGAAATAGGAGGCTGAAGAGGAAAAAAGGCCCAGAAAACTCCTAGTGGAGGCAGTATTTTGATACTGTTTTCATGAAAAAAACCTGGATTGACCAGGCCATACTATCTTTACAGCATAAAGTGTAACAGAGATTTGGTGTTCTACAATAGCAGGGGAAATCCAAGCCTAACAGACACTTGTTTGTCTACACAAAACATTTTGATTAAATTGAATATCATCATTTGCACGCATAACACATGCAGATGTCACTGAAAAGTTTGGCACATGCTCCAGAAAGCCCAGAAGACCAAGATATTGATGTGAAGATCCTGTTTCTCCAGGGAAAAAAGGCTTTGAGCAATGAGACAATCTGGTCAAACAGACTGCAAATAGTGGCACAATGATTAAAGCACAAAGTCCTTCACAGACTGAAGACCCAGGAGAGTTGAAACTGAAGATATTTCAAGTTACATTTCCTGCCGAGAACACACAAGGATCCTGCTGGTCTCTACTACACTACTGGAGAGGACTTCTGATCATTGCAGTCAGTTCCACATCTGAGTTGGCATAGGAAAGGGACAAGAAAGATTCTTCATTGAGTCTTAAGTGACAGAGCATGACAGACATCTGTAGCTAGAACATAGAGATTCCCAAGAGGATAAATACATGCCTATTCATGAACCCATCTGCCTGCATTAAGAGATGAAGAATAGGAAGGTGGATTCTTCCAGTCACCTGGAATTTTGTGAGTGCAATGCCATCAGAACACTTCTAAGGATTTCCAAGCCTTCCACTGTCTGGTATCAATAAATTTTCTTAGAAGGATAGATACCCTCTCCTCCACCCACTGCACTTCAACATCAAGCCTGCTTGTATAATGGGAGGGAGGAATGGGAAGAAGATGGCCCAAAACAGATATTTTTATGAATCGGAAATGGAGATTTTATGTGAATACCTTGCTGTTGCACCAGCTCCAGGGATCAACTTCATGTAGTTTTCCAGAACACATCCTTGAATCATCCTGAATATCTGCAGCTAATGCTACTGTATTGAGTTTGCATGGCAAGGTTTTGGTAGCAGGGGGCTGCAGGGGTGGCTTCTGTGAGAAGCTGCTAGAAGCTTCCCCTGTGTCTGACAGAGCCAGTGCCAGCCGGCTCCGAGACGGACCCACCGCTGGCCAAGGCCGAGTCCATCAGCGACGGTGGCAGCGCCTCTGGGGTAACGTTATTTAAGAAGCAGGAAAAATGGCAACAGCAATTGCAGCCACTGAGAAGAGTGAGAACACATGAGAGCAACAGCCCCGC